GGTGGCACTGTAAGCCTGGGGATCTGAGGAAGAAACCAGTCTTGAGAAGCTGGATCTCACGGGGTTCTTAGTAAAAGGTTTCATTCTTTTTAAAAAAAACAATACTATAGATAGTTGCATCTTCTTTTTAATCATAAGAACAGGTGTTCTGTGGCATGGTAACGACACTGGTTACTCCATTTTAGGATGGTTGGATGATATTGGCCTTCTCCAATATAAGATTTGGCTTTATGAAGAACAGGTAGATGGTCAAATGTTATTAATACATTACATGACTGTTGTGATTCCTTTGAGGGGCTTGGGAGAGTAAAGCTTTCTTTTTCACTGAAACACACAGAAATAGAGCAAGCAAAATATGATGTTTTCACAATAATTGCACCAGAGTATGAAGATGTTGCTGAAGAGAGAGGTGGGAATATTTCCTATGAAGCAAACATGGTAGCATTTGATGATTGCAACAGCATTTGGGGATAATCTGAAACCCTAATTTAAGCTAAGTGAAACCTAATTTAAACCAAGCTCTTAAGAAAGTTAATTTTATATATATTCAACAATATAAACATTGAAGTGTACACTTTGTCTTGTGTTTGTTTTGTTTGTTTTTGAAGGGCACACTTTGAATGACTGCATTTTATTATATATGAATTATATCTCATAAAAATATTTTAAAAATAGAATGTAGAATGTTGAAGTCCTGGCCATTTCTAAGATCTGTGCGCAGTGACCACTCAGAAGAGGCTGCCCTTTTGACCTGACATCTTCAGGGACTTGTCTTCTCTTTTCTCCCTTCCCTTCCGCTTTGGACAACAGTTACGTGAAACCTTCTCATCCTTCTCCCTTCAGCCCAGTTCTGCTAGGGCAGAAGTTACTGGGGGTAAAGGAAGAAGGAGGGAGGCTGGCCTTTCACTCTGGTTCCTTCCTTATTGTCCATTTCTAGCCTACCAGCCAGTGAGTAGGACTATTCCCTACTTTACACCAGTAGCAGAGATGGATTCCAGGAGAACTTTGTTTTAGATTCCATAGTATTATTAATGTTGTATTTAAGTTACTTTTATTTAGATAGCCTTTGTGAACTAGGCTATGGACCCAACTACCACAAGTATCTTCCTCTTTAAATAAGTGTGAAGTTTTGAACAGCCAGCCTAAGTAGGAATTTGTCAATATCAAGAAATTTGGAGTTCAGTTCATGGCATCTATTTTCTTCTTTATCACTGAGCCCTTGGTGGGCCCATCACGTAAGCCTGCATGCAATGATACCAATATGTGTAGTACGTTGCACATTCACTGTGTGTCAGGCACTCTTTTAAGCATTTTACTCAATACTCAGTTCTTCACAACCCTTCGAGTTAATACCATTATTATCCCCATTTTGGGGGGAGATGAGTAAACAAAGGAATCAAGAGAGTGGGTAACTTGGTGACTAAGTTTCTACAGTTGGAAAGTGACAGAAAGCCATTGAACTCAGGTTGTTTCCAGATCCCTGCTTTTAATAGCTCACTGTTCTGCCTGGAACACATTCAGTAAATATTTGCCTACCAATCTAACTATGAATATATTCTCCTGGGAATGTGAGCAAATTCAGGCTTAAAATCATAAGGGGTATATGTATAATTTTCATGGCTGTAAAATAGTAACTTACCTTGGGAAATTTAACCCCCAAAGTACTAAGTCACAAAAACTCTGTTTTAATGTGGTATCCTGCATTGGATCCTGGAACAGAAAAAAGGATCTTAATGGAAAAACTGGTGAAATCTGAAAAAAGTCCACAGTTTAGTTGATTGTATTATTATGTTTACCAATTTCTTAGTTTTGATGAATGTATCATTGGTTATATAATATGTTAATATTAGGGGAAGCTGGGTCAAAGATATATGGAATTCTATACCAGTTTTGTCAACTCTTCCATAAATCTAAGATTATTTAAAGATAATAAGTTTTAAAAAATCCAAAAATTACAAAAAATACAGTTTTGATTTAAAAGAAAAGTCTTTCCTTTTAAGATCCTTTAAGTATAATGAATTTCAAAAATAATTAACATTTTAGTTACACTATAAATTGTACGTTTAGGGTTTTTTTTTTAATCTGATAGACTTTAGTTAGATGAAAATAGTTTACATTGAAATGTGTGTAATAAGTGTCTCAATCTTAGATTAAAATGTGTTAAACACTGGCCAGGTATAGTAGCAGCTGATGCCTACAATCCCAGCACTTTGTAAGGCCAGGTGGGAAGATCGCTTGAGGCCAGGAATTCAAAAGAAGCCTGAGCAACATAGTGAGACTCCCATTTCTACAAAAAATTAAGAAAAATTAGGTAGGCATGGTGGCATGCACCTATAGTCCCAGCCACTTGGGAGACTGAGACAGGAGGATCATTCAAGCTCAGGAGTTCGAGGCTGCAGTGAGCTAATAGATCAAGCCATTGTTCTCTGGTCTGGGTGACTGAGAAAGATCCCATCTCAAAAAAAAAAAAAAAATTACATACTATTTCTAACTTATGAGATACTACTTTTAAAAAATTAATTCAGAAAAAAATTCAGGAAATACTTTTTGCTTAGTAGCCTCAAGAATTTAAATTGATTATCTAATATTTTTATTTTAAAAGTATTTTATGGTAGATTTTTTCCTTTTTATTTTTCATAAGAGATGTGTTATCAGTAAGGTATGTCTAAAATGCATGCTTTTGTTGTTTATTTTCTGGATATGTTTGGAAGTAAATTGGTGCTTATCTTGACACTGGCCCCCAAATCACCTTCTTCGGAAATAATTTCTTTTGGTGTGTTTGGCATATTTGAAAATGTTCCCAATAGCCACAGACTGGTGAAAAGTTTTTCTTTGAAGTGGTTGATTGGTCATATCTGTATTAAGTATAACTTCATTTCTTTTATCTCCTTAACTCTCACCAAAACATTTGCACTGATTGACATAGTTTTTCCAAAGTTGTTCACAATGTCTACTAGATAAAACATAATAATCTATAACTAGAGAATTTTTAGGGCCAGAGAATAGTGTAACAAGAGCACTCTGTGCTTTTCCCCAAAACTATGATGTGCCTTCGTTCAGAAAACCAAGCCTTGATCACCAGTGAGCCTGGCTTGCTCCTATCTATCCGCTGATTGGAAAAAGAGAGGGGCAGTTTGGCCAGTGCCCAAGGATGTGCTTTTTCTGCAGATAAAGTTTTCAAAGATCAGGAGGAAACAGAGGAATTCCAGAGGGTCTGGAGGAGAGAGAAACTACTGGAAGTTGAACTCACTGGGAACAGCATTTAGTTTGGGGTTCTGGAAAGGATTTTGTTTAGAACAGGAAAAAGAGTTGGGTTACTAAATAAAAGCTTTCAAAACACAGACAAGCCCTTGGGGCGTATTGGTTTGAGGGGCTCTTCTGCTTTTATTGCAGGTGTCTGAGGTTCCCTAAGAAATCCCTCTGCCAGCACAGTTGTTGCTCCAGGCCACGTTCATTTGCCTGCTGCCCAAGAAGAAACCAATATGCTGAGCCCAGCAGGTTTTAGGCAAAGAAAATTTATTCTGTGTAGTGCTAGGCAGGGAGATGGGAGAAATTTCTCAAATTTGCCTCCCTGAGAATTTGGCAAACAGAATTTTTAAGAATAGTTTGGCAGGCAAGGGATTAGGCAATTAGGTTCGTTAATTAGGGCAAAATTATAGGAATGTAGAAATCATCTTCCTGTGTTGCTCTAGTCCCTGAGGTCACAATTCCAGTTGAGTTGGTTTCTTGGTATGGGTGGCTAATCTGGGTGGGTCAGTCTACTGGAATGCCAGCCAGGCCTGGAAGATATCTTAGAAACTACCTTTAGGTTTGGAAAAGGCGATGTTATCTATGGAGAAAGTTAAGAATTTTTATGACCACCAGCTGCATGGCTCTGGAGTGGCAATTAGAGAGAAGCAAAACAGGGGGACAGTGACTAATTATTATCACTGTTTTCAGTTATGCCCTTACCACAGTTCTCAACCTGCACCCTGTTGTTCACTTGAGTGAACGGCGGTTTCACAACTAGCTCCTCCTTTTGTTCTTTTTTACAGGATGACCTACTGTCTTTGAACATGGTTGGCAAGCTTCACTGCGTCAGCTCAGCGTGAAAAGGTCTGTCCTGGTCCCGAGGACGTATAAATGAGATCCCGACTGTCTCTGGAGGTGGCCATCTGACGAGGTAGCGTTTTAAGATTGAGGCTTACAGGCTGCACTTCCACCCGTGTGACTGTCCATGTGTGTAAAATTGAGACCCATTTCCCCTTGGGTTCTGCAGGAGGAGCTGGCCTCCTCACAGCCTCAAGTCCAGCCTCCTTTGTTCTTGGACTTTGTTTTTCTGTACTCCTTCCTCCCACCCCCACTCCCGCATGGTGGTTCCACTTGTGTAACTAAAGCCAAAGATTGCTTTACAGTGATGCTTTCTTCTTTTCTTTGGTGTTTTTTCCCCCCTGCCTTCTTAATCCACAAATATGACAAAAATGAATTCCTTTCCTAAAGCAATGCTTTCCTAGTGTGAAGGAAAGCTTGAAACTCTGTGACACGAATTCTTTAAAAGAGAATTCAAATTAGCAAACACTTTTTTCCTTTCGCTAAGCATTGAGTGAGGTGTTAAGTACCTGTGCTCCATGGAGCAAACTTTTTAGACAGAACATGCAGCTTAATATTTAGGATCCTGTGGCCAACAACTGAAGCTCTTGGTGGTTGTTTGTTCCCATAGAAGAGCATCACCCCATCAGCGATTCAGCAGTGGACCAACCATCAAGTTGGTCCACTGTGAGTGAGTGACTATGCGCCATGGACTTGCCCCCAATGTCAGAGGCAGTGCCCTCAATATGCCCCCAATGTCAGAGGTAGTGGTGTCCACGGTGGGCTCATGCTAAAACTCTGTTTCAATCTAATATTGACTTATTTTGTTTCCTTTAGTCTAAGGAGTAAGATATTACCAGTTTGCTTGTCATAATCCTAAAATCATCTGACCCAGCCCTCCTGCATTATTTCTGGGGAATGTTTCCTTTCAGAGTATTTTTATTTATGTCATATAACTCTAGGTTGCATTTAAGCCCGGCTGTGTTTTATTGTCCTCTTTCATGTGGAATAACATCTATCCACTGTCTCTCATATGATCATGATTTAAAACCCCTGCAAAGACACAGATTGCATCTCTGCGTGTTGGGGTTGCTTGCATAAGGAGCTGGCTTCCAAGGCAGCACCCCAAAGAGACAGGAGCACTGATGCTGTAACCTGAAGCCTGGATTTCAGGGCCAGCTCTGCTACTCACTAACTCAGGCAAAGTGAAGAAAAGATATGTAAACTAAAAGTCATAGTTTGGACCCTGACCACCTCACTGGGCTATGGCAGGAGATAATGAAAAGAAAGAGCTTTGCTAATTGTACAGCCTGAAGCAGTGGCTGTTTTGACTATTACCTGGTTATTCTATCTTCTGAGGTTTACTAAGTTTTATAGGTGAGTCAAAGGTATATGTATCTTTAAGAATAATTGAGAAAATGTATTTTTGAAGGTTTCTGCCAAGTCATTTATTTTATTAGGCTTAACAGTAATAAAGAACATGATGTTGGTTTCTATGATCGATGTATTGCCAAAGCAGAGAGCCTGTGACTTGGGTCCAAATACTGATTGTAGTTGTCCAGTTTTCCTATGTATAAGTCAAATATAAGAGGAAGATTTCTCTTTGTACAGATTCAGCTTGTCTGGCTTATAATTGACCAGCATTGCAAGTCAGGAAAAGATGCTTAAGAAACGATTCAAGGAAGATCAGCAGAGACTGAATATTTCCTAATTTACCTGGATTTGTGGATGTTACCAAATTCAGATTATTGTTTCTTCTTTGAAATCATTCCTACTTGTTATCTCAATGAACTTTATGTGGCCTAAAGGTTTACCAGCTCCTCCAGAAATATGTACCGGATTCTTTTTTTTTTTTTTCAGCCCCTCTATCTGCCTGAGCACCTTCTCTTTGGATAGTTTTCTCCTTTAAAAGACGTACCAGGTGTGAAACATCTGCAAGAGTCTCTTAAATTCTTAGTCATCAGCCTGATGATCATTTCCTTAAGAGATAGTCTCAGGGACCATCCATTGACCAAGACAGAGTTTCTCTTCTAAGCATCACTGGAAGTTTTCTCTCCAAAAGAGTGAGAATTCTTTTAACAGGCACTAGTCCTGTATGGAAGCAGAACAGGCATACAAGATAAGCATAGCCTTACCCAAAGAGAAAATATAGTAAGGACCATTTTCTTTTGCTGATCTTAGATTGGAAAACCTTGCAAAATTGGATTCAGTCTATAGAAATCCCATTAAGTCCTATCTAAGCAAAAACTAAGGTTCTTGGCATATTTTGCTTATCAGAGTGACTAACGAGCTAGTTGGTGTGGATAAGAAGAATGAGATTAATCTTCTGAGATTCATAACATGGATCATTTATTCTATTTGGATACATCTATGGCTAGGATGCTGTTGTTTTTGTTATATGAATTTAGTTATCCAATTGCTTTTCTCTATATGACAGAGTGAATAATTAAATTATGCATGTAGGGAAGGAGTGGTACAAAAGAATTACGTGTTATCTATGCTTTCTGTTATGAATTTTATCAAATTTTTGGATGTTTTTGTTTGCTTTTCTTTTAATGCAAAAGAAGCTTACCTTTAGCAATTTTCAGAACCTGAGAAACAAGAAGATGGTAAAGAATATGTTTGGCCAATGGAATTGGGACAGGCATCAGGAAGTGCATCTAAAAAAGGCTCTTGACCTGGTTTGAATGTGAGCCTGTGTGACGAAGATGATTTGGACTGATTAGACCAGGTAAATACAATCCTATATATCTCTTTGAATGTGCTTCCAGCACTCAAACACTAAGTGGAAACTTTGTACCCTGCATCTGCTAGTCAGGGATTATCTCATCAGATAACTAAAAATAAAGATAATGAAATAATAGTAAATACTCTCAGATCACTTACTACATTCCAGGTACTATCCTAAGCACTTACTAGATATTAATGTTCATGGTAATCTTAAAACAGAGAGAGTGTCCTTATCCTCATTTTAAAGATAAGAAAACTGAGGCATGGAGAGCTTAAATGACTTGCCCTAGATCTCCAACCTGTCAGGTCGGCTCCAAAGCCTATGCTATTTAGCTATCTTATACCGTTTCAGTATTAGGGAAATGTATGTATTAAAACAAGTCAGGAATGGACAGGTCATCCTACCCTGTTCCCATTAAACTCACAGGACTGCATATCGCTCCCTTACCAGGACTCGTTTTGGTACTATTACCAAAGTCATTAGACTAGATGTGTCAGTAAAATGTTTCTTCTAAATTTTCGCTTCCAGTAGCACTAATGAGAGGAGATTATCATCAGAAGTGTTCTGTTGCTCCCACCTCATTCAATACCATTTGCATTATTTCTTCTTAGAGTTTTGTTCATGTTGTTGCACGTTCCTTGAAATTATGAAAATGAATATGTCATGTTGTGGTTTGTTCTTTGCAGATGGAAGATTCAGAAGGGACAGTTATACAAATAGGTGCGTTCTCTGAAGGCATCAATGATCTGACAGTAAGTTGGTAAAATGAATTGAAAATGTTATTTTAAAAACGTCTTTCGGAAGAACCCAAAGGACTGCACGCATTTGGAGAATGCATAGTTCTGAGCTCGTGGCTGTCGGTGTGTGACTCCCCGTCTCCCTGTTTCCCAGCACATGCTAAAAGAAGACAACGTGTTTAAAGACTTTGCTGCCCATTCCCCAGATGCCAGCATCACAGACAAAGACTCAGATGTTTGACCCTTAGCACCTGGACACTTGTGAATGAGAGTGTGACTGTTTTTCCTCATGTAAAAATATGTAATATATTCTATTTAATAAAGTGTTGCATTGAAGATAAATCTTTTACCACTGTGTTTTCATTCACAACCACAATATAGAGGATTTGGGAAGCAGGAATCAGTGTGTGATTGATTTTGTCACACTTGGGCTCACTGCAGCTATCTGAGTATGACATTATGTGCTTTCAAAATCAGTATGTGGAATTCCTTTAAAAAGCATTCAGTGCACCCACTAAATGCCAGCCACCCCTCTACTTGCCTCTTATTGTCTTTTTATGTATTTTTCTAAATATATGTGTATATAGAGTACATAGAAAATAGAGCATTTATTTTTTTGACATAAGGAAGATGGTGAAAAGATCACATTTTTAAAAAAATATGGTGATCAAAATTTCTTATACCAGCTGGTTCCTGAAGCAGTCAGAATGATCTTTCTTTCACCACAACTGAATTTTAACAATGTTGATCACTGAGGCTAAATTCATATATAGGAAATATTCCTCTTTTGATGTGACACCACAAAATTGTCCAGCAGTTAAAGAATTTCAACCATAATCTTGGATCCTTTTACCTTATAAGAAAGAACTCAAGGGACATTAGTATACTATTAACTTGAATATATCCAGAAGCCCCTTCTTCCAAAAAATTTGTAGAATAATCCAAAAACAAAACAAAAACCTTTACAGTATTAAATTTCTTATTTTGTCTTTTTAAAATACATCATTACATCAAAATTATAACAGTCTGCCCAAACATATTAAGTGTACATTTCTCAGGCTATCAATAGAATGGAGCTTTTTAAAAAACTGAATATTTTTCTGAACACTTTGTTTCAGAGTTCAAAAAAATTTGAGGCTGCAAAATTACTTTTATAATGTCAATTTTGTGATGATAAAATGTAGTTCATGTTTTTCTGTAGCTAGCAATGGGCCCAAATATTCTTTGTAAAGAAAGTAGAAAGTTGCAACAAAAATCTGCCTCTGTGTTTATTTTTTTAGGAATATTGAAAAATATTCTATTTTTATTCAGTGCTGCATAATTCTTCATGGTAGCCTGCCATTCATTATTTGGTACCTGCATTGGCCTCTTACTGTATTTAGGTTTTATTTTAATATGACTATATGTTACCAATGAAAAACTCAATTTGTTGTTATTAATAGAATCTGATCGAGAATACCAGAAGACTGTTACAGATGCCAAAAATTATCTATTCAGGACAATATAACATAACTAACTGGCAATAGGTAATAAGGTTAAAAAAATTTTGATGATATATTTTATCTATAAATATTATGCACTGCTGATATTATCATATGAAAGGAAATAAAGTTGATTGATAATTGCTTCAAATTTTTATTGTGGTTAGTGTAAGTAATCTGCCCTCTTCTATAGTTGTGTGATTTATTAGGAATGGCTGTGATTTTTGTTTGTAGCATTGATAGTTTTAATATGCAATTGGGAAGGTAAAACTGAAGGATTGTTATTTTGGTAGTAAGAATAGAGCAATTCTAAATATAAACAAGTATATGTATAATTAGAACAGTTCAAACTAGTTAACTTTGCAGATTCAAAATACTTATTTCTAACTAGACATTTTAACTTGAGAAAGTGAGTTTATTAACCAAACCTTAAAATTTATTGAAACTATTTCTTTAGATGACAAGTTCACTGTATCAGCAATCACAATAAACTTTTTATTTAATTAACTATAGAATTTTCTTAGCTATGTCTGACATTTTGTTTTCCTCAAGGTGGTTTTAGTTCTTGAGCTTACAGAAAATGGGTTATTGTTTCATTTTTATGTTACCAAAACCTTAAATTGTGTTAGAATAACAGGATCATGATCAATACTGAACAATTAACTCTGTGTTGTAAAATTCTCTGTAACTATTGTGTCGTCTTTTGGGTACAACAGAAAGAACACCCAAAACTGAAAGGCTGCCGAAAAGAAAGGTAAACAGTTTATATACTTCACTATATACTATCGTAATGGTTCCTGAAGTTCTAATGTGAGACATGTTAACTTTTTACCTTTTTTCCTTTTCCTTATGCCCTTTTCATGATGAGGCAAAAGGATGCTGTCAGAGAAAGCTTTACGAGGTCATGTTTACAGGCCCTATCCCTAGCTGGGGTTTAGTCTTCGACTGATTTTTTTGGTCAATACCCAAAGAATGGATCATCTTCGAGAGGCGGGCTCACTCACATACATACCGCAGGAAACAGGAAACAGGTGTATAAACCAGAATATAAAACTATTTTTGATGATGCCTTTAACGGTCTTGCAGCCTGAGATGCATGCATAAATCTAACAGTTTAGTCTCACCCTGTGGGCATCTCTAGGAGAAATCCAAATTATAAGGTCCGTTTGTGAGCATGGAGTCAGAACAAAGGCACATTAGTTGGAAGTTAAATGATACCACATTGCAATCATCTAGACCAGTCCTTTTCACAGGAATATTACCTGCTTCTAGGACATACAGTATACTGGTTTTGATATTGCTCAGATGGGCATTGCTGAATTTCGCCACTTTAACCCCTACTTTTGTACGCTGGCCATCCCTTCCTATGTAATACAGTTTTGTTTAGAAAAAAGTTAATGTGACTGAGTAACTATCAAGTATTAGTTTTTCCCTGGGCCTAGGAGTGATATAATTTCTCATTATGTGTTTATTCAATCAGTTTAACGCTAATTTACTTATTTTGATGTACTTATTCTTTATTTTCTATGTTCCTTATTTCCAAGTTCCTAAAGACCCCTTCTTGTACTGAATTCCATCAAATCAGTTTTAGAAATTATCTCAAAAATATATTAACTCACTTTTTCGTAGACAAACTGTAAATATTTTGCTAAAAGTCTAGTTAAATAAATAAATAGGGAAATTGTTAGTGAAGAAGATGTAAAATGAAAGGGGACCCTTGCTAGAGGGTCTGAGGAGAGCGTGCAGAGGTATTTAGATAGGTTCAGTGTTTTTTTCATTTGAACAACAGCAGCTTTGTGAGAGGTCAGATTTGACGTAGGTTGCAGTTCTGCTTTAATTGCTTGTAATTGCAGGTTTTTGCTTTAAAATTAATGAATGTTTCCATGTAAAATATGAAACTATTTTATGTTCCTTAGGCACTCGCTCCTAGGACAGAGGCAATGGCTGTTGACCAGGACTGGCCTGGCGTTTGCCCTGCTGCAGCGCCATTTAAACCCTCTGCAGCCCCTCTTCCTGTTAGAATGGGTTGTCCAGAGGGCGTGCCCACGGCAAAGGAGGGAAATCTAGAACTTTGAAAGGTAAGATAAGTTGTTGGTTCTTTGGCTAAGACACCTAAATAAATGCTGATCTTCCCTCCTTCTACCCTCCTTTATCCAAGGCTCAGTATATAGCAGCTTCCTTTTTTTAACTTAAAAATTTGTCCAGGTCATAATGGATGTTGTAATTTGATTATCCATGTTAAAGAAGACTCAAAAATTCCTAAGCACTGAAAAATGTAATTAACGAGTCCTATGGCTTCCTTTGTGGCCTTTTCTATTCAATCTTTTCTTTACTATATTTTCAAGCGAAACTAAGAAAAGTGAAAGAACCTAATCTGAGATGGGGATTTGGGAAGTGAAAGTTCCAATTTTCAGAAAGGAATTTTAAATCTTTCTGCCCAGAAAGATACACTATTATTCAGTAGTATCATTATAATCCACCAAATTTTACTTCTTTATATTTCTTAAAGCAAAATAGGTATGCTTTATTTGATAGGATCTGCAGTGATTTTTGACCTATAGGTTTTTAAAAGAAAATAAGTCAAATTAAAAAAAAACTTTTTTAGAGACGGGGTCTTGCTGTTTCCAGGCTGGAGTGCTGTGGCTATTAACAGGCATGAATATAGCAGAGGTTGGGTTGTGGCATTTCAGCAGGTTCGTTGTGGTAATATCAGGGGATGGGAGAAAAGGATGGAAGAAATGCAATTTAGTAATTAAGAGTGTGGTACCCAAAATCGCTGTCTCATCAATCCACTGGTGGGTCATTTGGGGGTTGCTTTGAAAGATGTCAGTAAAGGCTTGTCTAAGTCTGCGTAGATATTTAGATAGGCGTAATATTCTTGACTTCAGTGATTCTAGGTTGGGCCGGCTGCAAAATTTGTGGAGCCCAGCACAAAATGAAAATCTGTGATTGCTTATTCAAAAAGCAGCAAAAAATAATACTGTTAAAGATACTAAAATATAAATCTTTTTCCTTCTTCTACAGTCTTTCTCTTTTGACTTGTGTTTATTTGTAACGATGTCATTCTAAGTGAAGAAAAATGATAATTATAGTGTGAATTAAATTTTAGAAATTAAATTTTAAAAATTAAAAATGGCAATTATTGGCATGAATTTTACTGTTCATCTGTGTATTGTGGAATGCCGATTTTAAATGCAAATATGAGAGAATTGAACTTGTATGCAGAATTGCTGAAATCCCACAATTCGTATTTTGTAGTTTGTACGTGCTTATGTATATTGTTCTTACCAAAACAGTAGAAACACTGCACAAAACTAACTCAGCTACTTTTATTTCACTTCTTGACATGCACACATTGTATCAACACCGCACCTTTGCCTTACAGATGTGTAAGGAAGTACTGAAAGGAGAATAAGCTCAGTTATCCTGTACTTTTCTTACTTTGCTGTCATTTTCAGCATAAGTGTTTAGCTAATACAGGGAAGTGGCATGAGTAAGAGAAGATATGACAGGGTTACTTGGTCATTAGTGTGTTTTAGAAAGACATTTTTATGTGCAAAGCAAGTTCTGATTTGAATGGAAGCCTGTTATATATACTGGGTTTTAAAATTTCCCTGACAGCTAAAGTTGCAGAACACAAATTATGGAGAGGTTATAAAAGGAAAAACTTGCAAAACAATGAAAGAGAATATGTCCTTATTTGCATGATAGCAAATGGGAATTCAACTTTCACTTCATCAGCTATGAAATATTCCAGCTATAGCAAAAACAGATAGTGTATGGATAAGAGTTAACTGGAGCTGTCTGGTAATAACAGTGTTTTCCATATAGACAGCATTGAACTAATCCTTTGTATACCCTGGTGCTTTCCTGCTTGACATTGATCACTGAAAGTAAAAGGAAAAAGAACATTACTGCACATTTAGAAATGACGTGCACATAGAATTTAAGGTCAGGACATTAAAGGAATCATAATCCATGATATTATGCCTGCATTTTCTTTCTTTCTTTCTTTTTTTTTTTCCTGTTCAGACATAAGTTTTATATTTACTATTTTTCCATCCTAGCACTGGTAGAATTTGTTCTTGGCAATTTTACCAATGGCTTCATAGCACTAGTAAACTTCATTGACTGGATCAAGAGAAAGAATATCTCCATAGCTTATCAAGTTCTTGGGGCTCTGGCAGTCACCAGAATTCGTTTATTCTGGGTAATATTAAATTGGTATTGAAATGTGTGTAATCCAGATTTAGATAACGTAGAAGTAAGAGTTATTGCTCATATCGTGTGGGTAGTAACCAACTATTTTAGCACCTGGCTTGCTACTAACCTCAGTATATTTTAGTTGCTCAAGATTGCCAATTTCTCCAACCCAATTTTTCTTTACCTAAAAGAGGAAAGTTAAGAGCGCCGTTTTGGTGATACTGCTGGGGACTTTGGTCTTTTGGGTTTGTCATCTTGCAGTGGTAAACAGGGATGAAAGTACAGGGACAAAAGAATATGAAAGAAACCTGACTCGTAAGAGCAAATTGTGGAGCACTCTATGCCTTTCAAATAGGACTGTATTTATGCTAACATACTTCATATACTTTACTATGTCCCTGATATGTTTTTGCCATTAATCTGTTCTCTGTGTAAACATCTCAAGAAGATGTGGTTTGATGGCAGAATAGCTCAAGGTTCCAGCACTGAGGTCCACATAAAAGCTTTGCAAACTGTGATCTCGTTTCTTATGTTATTTGCCATTTACTTTCTCTCTATAATCACATTGGTTTGAAATTCTGATAGGCTGCAGAACAAACCTGTGCTCTTGTTTCTCCAAGCTATGGGAATCATCTGTCCTTCAAGCCATTCATTCATCCAAATTTTAGAAAACAAGAAGTTAAAACAGACCTTTCTTTTGGTTTTGTGGCAGGTGAGTTGCTGGGTGAAAGGACAGAAACCTTCAACGCTGTAGATTAATAAGGGACATTACGTGTTTTCTAGCAGAAAACAAACTAATGGTGTATGAAACGTTTTATATTTCCTGCTGGTTTTTCCATAGTGTATACATTTGAACGATTCCAAAAGTATAACTAGAAAAGTTCTTATGCCTAAACTTATTATAAAAAAGAATATATATGTGTGTGTGCATGTGTATGAAAACCTAAGAAATATTGACAATAACATTTCCTTAATCAATTCTTTTCACACAAACCATCTAATCATAAAAATATGGTAAGAAATTTCTAAGAATTATAAAGCCATCTGTATTTCTTATATACTTTATGTCATCTTTCAATTGAAGAATTTATGATCTATATTTGTACATCATTAAGAACTGACAGTTTATCTCAGGAAATCATTGTCATTTTCCATTGTAATTTATGCCACACACACGTACCGCACTGTGTTTGGATTTCATTGCTTGAACTTATAATTTTTTGGATGGTAAGAACATTAAATTACAAATTAACAATGAGGATGCATCTTTGGGGTAGGTTTTATTCCATCATGAATCCTTATTTTATGTTTAGCATAAAGCAAACAATTATTGTTAGAAAAAGATGCACACAATAAAATTCAAGAGTAAAAAAATACTTAGAGTAAATTTTGTTATGTGTACCATAAAAAGTATTGAGGAATATTAGATTTAATACAAGTATGTGAATAGTTTAGAAAAAGATAATTCCTGCAATAGGAATAAAGAACAGATCGGGCCTGTTTTCAATGCTGTTATAAGTTTCCATGTGCAGTTATAAAAATCATTTGCTCCAGTTTTTGCATTAAAGAACACATTTTTTTGAAGTTGAGATCTGACGTCAAATATTTCAGTTTTTTTCTAAACCACCTCTGAATTTCTGAATTGCCAATCATCTTCTTTATCTTCCATCCATGAAATTCTTTTTAAACTTCAGATAAGGCAATTCAAATCTTCCCTATCTTAAAAAATGCTCAATATTATAAAACTAATATAGAAATTATAAAACATAATTCAATGAACCTTTCTGCAAATGTTAAATGGCATCTATGAAACCTATAAATTAATTATAGAAAATGTCTAAAAGATCTGTTTTATCATATTACTAATATTTATTATAGTAATTCTTGGTATTACAAAATATTAACAATATCACCTAAACTTTAAGATAAATCAGATCTATATCTGATTTATTTTTTATTTATCACATATCTCCCCCAGTGCAAAGTAAGTACCATAAAAGTAGAAATCAGTCTGTCTAATTGTTGACTTCAAGGACCTAAAAGCCAGCTCATAGACTAGTTGGTCAAAAGTGATATTTTGACGAACAATTAAATTGGTGGATGAATGAATAAATGAACTATATTAAGGCTGATAAACCAATATAAATGAAATCCATCACAAAATCTGAAGTTGCATGAATTTTCTTTTCTGGTTTCATGTTGTGGTTATAGGCTTATTCAAGTGGAAGCACTTCTCAGAGTAAATATTTGGCTATTTCACAGTTCTAGGGGAAATATCACTATAATATAGCCTCGATGCATCTATATCAGGTGTGTTAAGTGAAGACAAGGTGTAACATCAAAACTAGACTGTAGCTCTTACAAGAGTTTTTGAAAAACATATAAAAGATTTTGATATGTTTGCATTTTTTATATTGTGAATGATGTTTTTATTGTGATATCTTCTAGCTGGCTATTGTGTACAAATGCAGCATTTGGTTTTTTAAAAAATTGACTTATGAACTATCTTCTGTTAATAAAATACTATTAATAAATAAAAATATTAATAAGTATAATAAAATAATTAATAAAAATTAATAAAATAATATTTTCAGCATTCTTTCTAAATGAACTTTTTCATTGCTATATTATAAACTCATAGAAAAGTGAATAAATAATAACTGCACAACTGACTAGCCTCAAGCTTTGAAAACCAGAGCCAATATCTGAGAGCAAAGTGATGACAGTTACTTGGGAAGGCAAGTACAGGGCAGCAATGGGCGAGACGTGGAAATTAAGGCAAGAGAAGATGGGAAACAACGTGATGTGATGGATGGCTCTCCTGGTGGCCACTTCACAATGAGGTAACAGCATGGTGACCATGGTATGTGTGTACTTGCTCCCTGGGGCTTTTCCAGAAGGGCTGCAAGGGGGAACCACATCTAGCATTAGTCCATGGAAGAGAGGAGCGGGGATGTATCTTCTTGGCTCTCTTTTGTCTTCTATTTCCCATTGGCCAGGGTTTACCTGAAGTAGAACTAACAACTTTGCTTTTCTGCCTCACATCATCCAGCTCCTCGGTGGCCATTTAGCAAGTCAGGTCTCATGCCCACAGTGTGGCATTCCATTTGGTCCAAAATGGAAAGGTGATCTGGACCAGGCAAGGTGCTGACCAACAGACTAGGAAATGGTCAATGGAATCTGAGGAAGCACACAAGTTTGTGTCCAATACAGTCCACTCCATGTGCCACTCAGGTATACTCGTGCCACTCCAATAGTGGCTGGATTTATAAGTATATAACTTGTGCAGTTGCACAGGGCCTTGTGCTTAGAGGGGCTCTGTGCTTGCTTTAATCCTGTGTACTTTCTGCTTTGTTTTTCAAACCGAGGGTACTCTCTGCTGAAGAAGGGATGGTCTTGCACTAAATCACTAGGGGTTTGCTTTCTTCCTCTCCTATGGGCTTGTCAGAGACATGAACAGCACCCTGTAATGCCCACTATCCATGCCTCCAGCAGCTTCGAATCTGCTGAATCATCTGGCACAGTGGGCAGAGCAGCTTGGACCACACCCTGTATCTGCTATAGAGCCCTCGCTTGTTCTGGGTTCCACCTGAAACCAGTAACTTTTAGGGAAACTCTCTAAATGGGTCAGAGCAATGTCCTCAAACATGGTACATGTTAGTTCCAAAATCCAAAGAGGCCCAACAAATACAGTGCCTCTTTTTTTTAGTGGTAGGAAATATAAGATAGAGCAACATGCCATTTACTTTAAAAAGGATGCTTCAACATGTAGACCAGACCACTGGACCCCTAAAAATGTCACCAATGTTATAGGTCCCTGAATCTTCTCAGGTTTATTTCTCTTCTTCTGATATTTTACTGTTGTTTAATGTTATAGTGTTTTATGATATTTAAGGACCTTGCTCCTTCCTGTTTATGGGTACCAATTAATGTAACATTATTAATATATTGAATTAGCATGTTGTTTTGCAAACTGTCAATTAAACTGAGAGCATAAGTGACAGCCTGCCATAAAACAGTATAGGAGTGCTATTATTCTTAGCACACAAGAAGCATATTGTTTTGATTTTCCCTCATGATGAGTGTAGATTCAAAAGCATTCCCCGAATCAAAAGCCACATACAAAGTGCCACAGGCTATGTTCTTCTCAGAAATGATACCACATCCTGGAGATGCAAGTCCCATTTAAGTTTATGGCAATCTGCGTTCATCCTATAATTCATCTGGTTTTGGCAGAGGCCAGATAGGCTAACTTAATAAGGCTATACAAAGGATTACCATCCACTCCCCATATCTTTCAAGTTTTTTATGGTGGCAGTAATCAGTCCTATTCCTTGGAGAATGTAGTTATTACTTTTTATTCATTGTCTTGACAGGAGGGGAAAGTTTCAGAGGTTTCCTCTTATTCTTGCTTACAGAAATGTCCCTTACTCTACTGGTCAGGCAGTAATGTGAGAGTTCTGCCAAACCTGTCCATTTCAATTATATATTCAAGAAGAGATAAATAACTACAAATGCATTTGGTCTGCCCTGGGATAGACGTGAGACCAAGCTCTAGGTAACATCTGATATTCAATATTTTTGAATATCACTCCATCCAATGCACTGCAGTGTGTTTTTGGGTACCTAGTTATTAGTGCTAGTTGAGGTCCCACACCTCAAAGTCCCAGAGAAAATGAATGCATGCCCTTTCCTCTGGACACTGTTATCCAGTAAATAGCTACAGGTTTTGGAGAAAACACAATATGAATACACCCTGAATACTCTTGTGAATTATCAAGGGGACTTAAACTTCCCATCAGTCTCTGAACTCTCGTTGTCTGAATTGGCTCAGTCCTAAGAACTGGCTGAGGGACTTTGATTTTCCACTTCATAGACTGACTTCAGGAGTTAACTTTTCAGCTCTTATTTTCTGCTTGGTTTATAGTGTTGATCAAACTATGAAGCCCCTTCAGCTATTGGATTATGAACTCACTCCAGTGAGGATGTTGCCTCATTGAATCTGATCTTTGCAAGATCCCCAGTAAGTCTGTGTTGCTAATGGTCAGCATTCATCTTGCATGAGCCATCGGCAGTATTGAACAAAGTTTATTCGCTTTCTGGGATGCTGCCCTCTCCTGATTTTTATCCTCATTCCCTGGGCACCAGTTCTCAGTCTCCCTTGCTACTTTTTCCTCTTCTTCCTAAACTGAAAATATCAGACTGAGGTCTCAGTTCTTCAGTTTCTAACCAGTTATGCTTATTTTGTTGGTGATCTCATACAGTCCCCTTCCTGATCATGTAGCCAAACAATTTGACTAAGAAGAATAAGGCTTAGTATTCATAGATTTAGTCATACTCGTGTATACTATTTATTTATTCACACATATTCACATATATCACATTACTATTTTTCCTTTAAATGTCAAAATTACATTCAAAAATAATACTGCCAAAAAACTAGGGAGAAGAAGGGAGCTTCAATAATATCTCACATTGAAGTTCTGCTAAATCAGAGTCGACCCAGTATCTAATTTAGTTTGATTTAAAATAGCAATGTAAGTATTGATAAATTGATGGGCAGCAGATTATCATTATAGATATAATGATCTAAGTAGAGAAATGCTTAGATAGAATTATCATTGATTAATCCATTATTGATTAGTTGCATTTGGTATAGTAGTATATAAAACTTTTCACAAATGCCAAAAATTAAAATGAAATAAAATAACCTGTCCCACATACTCCTAAACATAATTTTGACACTGAAATGGATAAAGGTGCTGCTCATTCAGAAACGAATTTCTGGATATAATATGTGGGATTTATTCTTGTTGCCATTGTCAACTTGTCTGAAAACGGTTGTCACTCCCTAAGAACTGTAGTTTAAATGAAAACCTGGTGCTTTCAACCTAAACTGCAAATGTTCAGTGGATGGAGGAGGCTCAGGGCCAGCCCCTTTATCTTCTTTCCTGAGATCATCTTTGTTACCTGGACATACCCAAACCAGGGAGACCTTCTTGCCTCTACATTGATTTCATATTTGTGCTTTTATTCTTAGGACTTTTTTCCTTAAAATTTGCCCATACTAGCCAATTTTGCCTTTTCAGTATGTCTCTTCTTTAAATGTAGGGTATTTGTGAGAATTTTCAAGATATTTTGGTTTTATTTTCTTTGCTCAATGTCATTTCTGGGGACTGAGAGTGAGGGTTAGCTCTTCACACTGGAATATCCCACATCTTTCTCTGTCAACTTTGAAGTTTATGATACATGGTTTTTTTGCTTTCTTTGGTAGCTGTTGCTGAATTTGTTTCATCAGCCCCTTGCTTACTTTTTTAGCTGTGAAAGAAGAATAATCATGTCATGATACTTGGTCCCTTATCTTGTGACAACCTGAAATTAAGTGACTGAGGCAAAGATCTCAATCAATGGAGGTTTGTTAAGCCAAAGTTTGATGATTCACCTGGGAAAAGCACAAGCCATAGATGCATTTGTGACTGTTTTTTTCTGAAGAGAAATTTGGGAACTCATTACTTAATGAGAGAGGGTGTACGAAAAGAAAAAGGAGGAGGCAGTGGGCAGCAAATGGTTACATTCTTGTGAGACTTTAGTTAATGCCCAGGAAATCTACATTTTACATTAGATAAGGTGAGTGTCTGAAAAAAAGGGAGTGAAGGAAGAATCAACATGTAGATATCTCAAGAATGATGGACTTTTCTACTCCTAGAAAGAAAGACTTTTCTATTCTTTTCCACTCCTGGAAAGATAAACTTACAATCAACATTATTAGTATGAAATTTAACAGACTTTAGTTTTAGGAGCTGGCCTTGTGCTGTAGAACTAAAGTTACAATTTGCCATGTCCTTGTTTAAGAAAGGCCAGTAAGAAATTTCCTTATAAATGATCTGTGGGGGAGTCCTTGTAGATACCTGAAGCATTTTACCTTTACTTGGGGATCTGGCTCATGAATAATGTCAATAACACCTATTCATTTGGAACTGGGTGTTGTGTAATTCAGCCTCCAGGGTTGACCTTTCCTTTTGCATAAGGAGTTGTTGAGGGGCAGGGGGTGGTCCTGAGATTTTTATTTTCCTTTACACTTGGCCTGGCCTTTACACTTTCCTTCATCTACATTGGTGCCTGTTGTGGAGGTCTTGGAGATGTGTTGCTGGGAGGGTGAGTGGATGTGGATAAAATCAGAAGGTATTTGGTACTGATTGAGGAATATGCCCTACTAGGTAGGGAGATGCACAGAATGCTGGGAATTCTTGCTTTTTGGATGAACTCAATCAAACCAAGTGACCGACTGCTATATAGGACAACAGAAAGATTCCTATCTCTTTTCAAATGCATAGAGAATTATTCCCAAAGTCTACTGAATATTTACATTTGATACTATGTATAATAAATTCAGAAGCCTTTTTTAAACAATGTCTTAGCTATCACAGTACTAAGCATGAACAAGATGTGTAATAAATGTTGAAGAAGTAAAAAGCCTGAATTACTGGAAAGAGAAGGGGATTTGGATCCAAATAAATGAATAAATGTGTGTGTATGTATGCACTTGTAAAAAGTAAAACGATAAATAAATATTATGCGTGGTACCCAGCATTCTAGGAATGATGACTTCTATGAGATTAGTAAAGTGTTACTTTGTAGAATGTCCAATACACTATTATTAACTATTTTAACCATACTGGGTAACAGATCTCAAACAAAACAAGACTTATTCCTGTCTGAGGCTTTAGACCCTTTAACCATCATCTTCCCATTTTCCCCACCCTTAACTTTAAAGTGTTTACAAAACCTTAGTGCTTAGGAAGCCACGTATAACAATTTAGATTCTTGTTGCCTGCTATACAGGTTCGAATTTTGTAATAGTACTTGCCCTAACTCAAGTTGACAGACTCAAATATGTAGATCAGGCAAAAAAAAAAGAAAAAGAAAAAGAAAGCAAAACAAGGAAAATAAATCTTTATTTGCATGTTAGCAAATGAGAATTCAGCATTTCCTTCATCACCAACTACAAGAGACTTCAGCCTACTGTGTGTAAGGCACACAGTATCTGGATGAAGCTCAGCTGAGCTGTCTGGGGAACTACAAAGATTTTTATGAAGAAAGCTGTCAATCCAGTCATTACCTAATCTTGATGGTTGCTGATTTAATATTCTGTACACAGGTTTTTATAAAGGGAATATATTATTCAATTTTCAAGAATCAGATAAACATAATATTTTGAGATGAATGCATTAAGAAATCTTCAGCAGTGATATTAGACATTGGAGCAAACTATGAGTAGGGTCATAAATAGCACATTTATATTCATTTTAATTGTGGAATTCATAATTGGAAATTTAGGAAATGGATTCATAGCACTGGTGAACTGTGTTGACTGGGTGAAGAGAAGAAAGATCTCTTTGGCTGATCAAATCCTCACTGCTTTGGCAATCTCCAGAATTGTTCTGCTCTGCTTAATATTCTTTAATTGGTATGTATCTGTGTTTAATCCAGCTTTATTAATGTATGAAAAAATCTCTAGAACACTTGTTGTCTTCTGGACAGTAGTCAATCATTTTAGCATCTGGCTTGCTACATGCCTCAGCATCTTTTATTTTCTCAAGATAGCCAATTTTTCCAACTTGATTTTTTTCTACCTAAAGCGGAGAGTTAAAAAGGTGGTTTCAGTGATACTTCTGGTGACCTTGGTCCTCTTGTTTTTGAATATTGCACTGGTAAACATCCGCCTTAATGCCTGGATTAATGGATATGAAAGAAACAGGACTTGCATTTCCATTTCTAGTAACTTTATACAATTTTCCAGTTTTCTTTTATTCACCAACATCATGTTCATTGCCATACCCTTTACTTTGTCCCTGACAACTTTCATCCTGCTAATCTCTTCCCTGTGGAAACATGTTAAGAAGATGCAGCATGGTGCCAAAGGGTCTGGAGATGTCAGCACCACGGTCCACATAAAAGCCATGCAAGCTGTGATCACTTTTCTTCTACTATATGCCCTTTTCTTTCTGTCTTATTTCGTGCCAATTTGGAGCCCTGACTTGCTGGAGAAAAATGCGATCATCACGTTTTGGGTGATGCTTGGAACTGCTTATCCTTCAGTCCACTCCTGTGTCCTGATTCTACACAACAGTAAGCTGAGACAGGCCTCTCTTTCGGTGCTGTGGTGGCTGAGGTGTATGTTCAAAGATGGGGAGCCCTTAGGCCATACACCATTTAGGGAATCCTCTTGAATATTATAGAGGAAAATCAGTTTATAAGAAATTCTTGTATGTTATATAAATTTATACTTTCCTAATATTTTCCTATTGTGTATACATTATGGATTGCACAAAAGTATGCTTGAAATAAACACTGTCCAAACATATTACAACTTAGAAGAGTATATACAAAGATGTACATTAACATACATAGAAGGATATAAATATGGACCACTTAAATATAAGAAGCCTTTATAGTAATAATATGTAATATTATAATATTTATGTAATATGTAATAATATGTAATAGTAATAATATCAATTTTGTATCAATTATTAACCTTTTTAAGACTTTTAAATAAGAAACCTATAATGTATAAGATAAAGTATGTATGTGACACATAGTTACTGAAAATACCAAATTCCTAATCTAGAATATGTGCCTAAAGTTTTGGATTAAATGAAGAATACAATATAAACTATTCGAGCTTACGTATACTAAATCCATTGTTTCAAATATAGGAGCCAATTACCAATGTTTTTTAGAACCTCCTCAGAATCATGAGGCTGCTTCATTCTAATTACCATATCTATATTATTAGTTTCACATTCAAGAATTGTTTAAGTATATTTATTATTATTAGGAATATGCAATTTACATTTAGAAATACATTCTATTTTCTAATTAGTTTTCATATATGTATCACAACACATTTTAATTTTAATTCACAAGACTAGTAAATCTTGGTTGATGATAATTTTAATTGTATATAACTCTGGGAGATAGCTGTTTTTCTTATATTCGATTTCACCACATACCCCTATTTTATTTATGGGTGAAAAACAACAAGGTTTTCATAGGGACAGAAATTTAGAGTAACTCATGAGTGATCAACAAATGCATTATTAGCAGGGATTTGATTATATGCATGTGTTATTAATATTGATTTTATGGCAGAAATAAAACTAATAGGTGAAAACTATAAAATAATTTAAAGGTGTGAGATAAAGGGGAGGGAATCATGGTCATGTGCCCTGTGTTTAATATTGTTAAATCTTCAAAATGAGAGAATCCTATATATTTTTAGAAATGAAGAATTCTTCATTCCTAGTCTATGTTCACAAAGAAATCCCTTCAAATGCAGGCTCTGTCTTTGGAATGGATTTTCTTGTTCTCCTAATGTAGTTCATCTATTCATTTATTCATTGAACATATCTATGTTGAACATCTTTTGTATGTATTTTTTAAAGATATTTTAAGAAGAAACATATGCTATAAAGTAAAAAGTGGGCATATGTCATAGGTAGCCACTAAAAAGGGGAAGATATAATATGTATGAGGCAAATAAATCTGTAATCTGTATACTTCATAACTTTCTAACATTCACATATGAGTAATAACATTTTTCACATGAAGAGATTGAGGTTCTGTGTTACCCAGTAGTGCATGGAGACACAAGCTCAGAGCAGAATAACAGTCCCCAGAAGAGTGAGGCTGTCCCCCAAATTCAGATGACACATCAACAGGAACAGGCTGCTCACAGCCATATCACAATTTGGTGGAAAAAGCACATAAAAGAATACATAATTTTGGTGCTTATATTAAATGTTCTTAATTTTTTTCTATAATATTTGGTACCCAGTTCAAGTAACTTTGTACAATTTTTCAATCTTCTTTTATTCACCAACACTACAAACAAAAGTGATTGTTTTTGTTTGTTTATTGAATTAGAAGCCAGTTTCTTCACTGAATCGTTACATGTGCTTAGTGTTTTCAGCTCATTCTCTTTGTCTTTTGCAGATAGAAAATTATGTCATTTGCATATACCAATTTATGATGATTATTTTACTTCTTCCTTTTAATTATTTATAATTTAATTTTTTGGTACTGGCTTGTATAATGAACTGACTTGAACATTTAAAATGTTAAGTAATTGTGGTGATAACTGATATCTTTGTAGATGGAGTGTTTCCTAGTGTTTCAACAATAGACATACTGACTTTGGCTTTGAGATAAATACTTTTAGAAATCTTCCTCAGAGAGAATCTTGTCTTATTTTTCTGCATGTGGCACTCTAATAAAATCTGTGCTAAAAAGCATCAAATGTATTTTGTTATTTATTAAGGTGATCTCTGACTAATTAAAATAATGATACTTGTTAATAGCGGTACCTAAAGCAAAGGTATATTTTTCTACTCTATGCATTTTTCACGCTTGATCTTAGCCAAAAGGCGGAGAAGCGATTATGCATTCTTGATTTAATGAAACATCATATACACATTCACATTTAGATATATTGTAACAAAATTGCACCCTCAGAAGCAAACTGGAATTCAGAAAGTAAATGCCAAGTAATAAGAGATAATTCTCTAAAGAAAGAGGAAAATCCAATTTGAATAACAAAAGAAATCTTATCAAAAAATTATGTGCCAGAAGACAACTGATTCATATTTTCAATGTGCTAAGGAATGTAGTATAATTCTGAATTCCTGGCTAAAATTTGTTCTTGGGGTTGAATTAGATAATATTTCTAAATAAATTCAGACTTGTGGGGGGAGGGAGGTAAAGGGCATTTTTTGAAACCTTAAAATTTGTACCCCCATAATATGCTGAAAAAAAAAAAAAAAAAGAAAAAAAGACTGGGGCTATTTACTGCAAATACCTCCTCATTGAAATGGATCTACTTCAGACAGACTATTATGTGCTGAATTACATGCCCCCCAAATCCATATGTATTTTGTTTTAGTTTGGTGGAAAAAGCACATAAAGAATATATAATTTTGGTGCTTATAGTAAATGTTCTTAATTTTACATTTTGTAAGCCCTCACCCCCAATGTGACTATATCTGGAGATAAGTTCTTTAAGGAGCTATTCAAAGGTTAAATGAGGTCATGACGGGCCCTTAATACAACAGGACTAGAAGGCATCGGGAGTCTGTGGGCACAGAGGAAAGACCACGTGAGGACACAGTGAGAAGGTGGCCTGCCTACAAGCCAGCCAGAGAGGAGTCATCAGAAGCCAACCCTGTAGCCCTTCGTTAACTAAAAATATAATGAGGGTTATACTTTGGAAAAAGGACAGCATTATTTCCCATAAAAAGATCTTGTTAACAGCTCTCAGCAGCCTTTCTGGCAAGCCTGGAAACACAGCTCTCAGCCACAAGCCAGGTACACATGCTTCAAGGGAGAGAAAAAAGGAACAAGATTTTTATACTGAGCAGAGTGGCTGAATATACATATTTAACAAGCTACAGGAGGAGTCGTATTTGTGAAAAGAGAAATTATGTGCATGTGTAATTGTGCTTTAAACCTCCCATCCTATCATGGCTAGGAACTCAGTTTCAAGGTGTTTCTGGGATTCCTAGGGCTAAGAGGGGTCCATTTAGTTAACACAGGGCTTAGGATTTTATTTTTAGCTCATATCCTTCATCTTGGATTTCCAGCTCCAGAACTATAAGAAAATAACTTTCTGTTTTTTAAGTCATCCAGTGTGTGTGATGTTTTGTTATGGCAGCCTGAGTAGACTAAGACAAAGCAAAAAATAAATTAAGATAGAAAGATTGGGATGCAAGAAGTGATGTAGAGCAAATAAAATGTTAAATATGATGACAAAATAAGTAAGCATTGGCTGCATGTAAGTTGCAATAAAATTGATATTTTATAGTTTAAAGCAAGCTGGTGTTATAATTCAATATATAAACTGCATACTCAAAATTGCTAAATTTTATTCTACAAAAACTGCACAGTTATACTTCAATAAAGATGGTTAATAAAACAAAAAATCTGCATAGCACATATTGGAAGGGATTGATAGTGCAAAGAAATATTAAAACATGTCAAGAAGTTTGCCTGGATTGAAAGAAGACAGTGATTTAATTTAAACATGATTTTAAAAAGAAACATGTTATATATATCAACAAATGTGTGCTATGCAATAAAAAAGTAGAAAAAGTAAGTAAATACCTAAATAGATGGCTTGGAAAAAAGCAATAGCAACAATTCCATCAATTGAAGACAAAGCAGACAAAGAGAATTAGGAAAGAAAAACCATGATGAAAACCACAAGTAGGACATTAGAAATGAGTTCAGAGTTATCCAAAATTGCTACATGAATTAAGTTAATCATTAAAGGGCAGAAACACTCAATTTTAGATTAGTAAATATATGTTATATGTATATATAACATTAATATAAAATTTTATGTATTTTACATGTTTTATACATTTATAAATTTTCTATATTTTAATTTTGTGTATTATATCTTATATACAAGAGTCACATCTAAAAGAAATAAATACAAAATGGTAGAAAATATGTGGATAAAGATGTAAGAATACAAATGGTCAAAGGACTGCTAGGGGCTTTCCAACATTCATTCTTCCCTTCCTCATTCATGCCAGGCCCCCAGTCTTATCATGTGCATTTTGGCATCCAAACTTTGAATCCTTTTGTTAGATGAGAGATAGATAAACTTCCACCTAATTAAATCACTAGTATGTTTGTACTCATTTCTTTAGCTTTGTAATATGGAGCTAAACCTTGAACTAATATATCAACCAAACAAAAGCTGATGGAGCAATATCAATATCAAATGAAATGTTTTTTAAGGTGAAATATCAGTAAAGACAGATATTTAAGTTAATAAAACAACAATAAATAAGACAAAATAATTGGGGCCATGAATGCTTTTAAAAATATAGTACCAAAATAAATAAATCACAATTTTAAAACTGGACAAAATGTTGAATCAATGTACAATAAAAATTCAAGTATTTCACAAGCTGACAGATCAAGCAAAATTAGTAATTATGAAAAGGATGTGAATAGCAACTAATAAGTTTCATTTAGTAGATAAATATAGACTGCTTCACTAATCGAGAACACACAATTATTTGAGTGAAACATTTAACTTTTTCAAACACAGACCATGTAATAAGCCAAAAAATTCTCACTAAATGTCAAAGAATGGCTATTACACAAAATATATTCTCAGATTACCATAATATAATACTTTAATGAAATAAGATTAATAATATGCCACAAATTGGGAAAGTAAATTACTCTCTAATTCAGTCATAGCTATAAAATATTTTTTTAAAAAGCCACAAATTTAAAACTGAACAATAACAAAAGTGCTACCTAAATTGAAGTTTGAAAATTTCAGCCAAAGCTGAAAAATTCATATCTAACAATGTATTTATTTTAAAAAAAGTTAAAAGATGAATGGGCCAATATTTAACTCAA